TGACCAACTAAAGACATTACTGACTGGTTGGCGTTATCCTGTCATGTTTAGTGGCCTTGCCTTCTTGGAGTGCCGTAGACGGTCCTACAAATAATTTGTGATAGGAGTCTTGGGAGGGGTTTTGATCCGGTGGCCGGGTTTCCCCTTGGGTTATTTTTGATTTGTTGTTCGTGCAGAAACCCTGACTGAGAGTGACGTAAGCACGCATCCCACAGAAGAAAGAAGTGGTTAGTTACTTTTGCGTAAAGAACCAGGGAGGGTGTCTGTGAGTGCGTATGTAGTCAGATCTGTAGACGAGATGATGACTGCTTCAGGTGCCCTGCACATAGGTACGCTTTGGGTAGTACGACCAGAGAATAATTGCGCGGAGCTCCCACGCCAGCTGCTGTCAGCTGTCGTGTGCGTGGCACTCCCTGCTCTTTCCCCCCAACTGGGTGTGAGAGATAAGAAGCATGTAAACATCAAGCACTACAGTGTCTACGAAGACAACAAGGGCATACCACTTAGGGTTGACGAGTAGTTATTTGGGCTGGTAACTCTCTCTGCTCGGTTCTACGGTCTTCCTGGATCTCCGGCAGCACCGTGTGGCCACGGACCGTATTCCGGCCCCCACGGAGAACCGTGGTGCGGCCTAGAATACTCTGCATGAAATGCCCCACGGGTGTGCAATTCCTTACGATCGCCTGACCCACCACCCACCAACTACGCTACCCTACCGGCACCGTGAGCGATTAGTATGTAGCCAATAAGGTGAGCGTCTGGGCTCCAGGGGAAGAACAGGAGGCGCCTCCAACAGGTGCCTGGTGCTTGGCTTTGACGTTGTTTCGAGTTAGAGGAGTGGCCAAAATCGGGTACACCCCGCCCCAATCCGGCCATTATCGGGTAGACTTGTTTTACACAGTCGGCAGCGCCCTCCTGGCGCCATCTGATTGGTCGATGCCCGCCACTATCCGGCCCCGACCCTATTCCCACCTGGTGCACCCGATCTTGGCTACTCACCTCCCGGAGGGGCACCCGATCTTACTCTCGCCTACCCGAAAATGGCTGGGTATTCGACCAACAGACCACCAGCAGACCACGCTCACGAACACACGTCACCAACACCCCGCACTCGAGTTCCGACGCTTCCGACGGCGGGCGGAGGCGGGCCTAACACGGCTAACGCGGCGGAACTCTCGTTTGAAGTGGATCTCTCTCCTGCAAGACTCCTCCTGCAACAACTCCTGCAACCCACCACCGACGGCGGAACTCTCTCGGTTCTCGTTTCGTATCGGAGAGGGAGGAGAGAGGGGGCCAGGAGGGCGGCGGTAGATGAATACCTCTCAATACCTCACGTGATCACTTGAGGTGCACACAAATACATGACGCAGCTCAGATATGTCCACGGAAGCATCAGGCNAACTCCTGCAACCCACCACCGACGGCGGAACTCTCTCGGTTCTCGTTTCGTATCGGAGAGGGAGGAGAGAGGGGGCCAGGAGGGCGGCGGTAGATGAATACCTCTCAATACCTCACGTGATCACTTGAGGTGCACACAAATACATGACGCAGCTCAGATATGTCCACGGAAGCATCAGGCATAGAAGCATCAGGGTGTCGCTTTCGTCTGGAATACATGTATAGACACGTCAAGGCCGGAGACGTATGGCACGTTGTTGTGTACGCAGAGGGTCGTTCGTACACAGCAGCAGCAGCAGCAGCAGCAGCAAGCAGTGGATGCCGTGGTTATGTCTCGATCAAGACCGGAGATATATGACACATTGTTGTGTTCGTGAGGTGGATAATGCCATCCTTACGAAGGCTACTGTTGTGATACTCATGTGTGGTTTTGAGCTAGATGCAATTGCGCAAGTAGTGGCTGTTACTCGTTCTTGGATCTTCGGGGTATCTCCGATCATATCTTTGACAAGTTGTCACGTGTTCCGCTGTCGCGTGTTCCGAGTTCCGAATGCGTCTTTACTACGAGGAATTTCTTGCGGCTGTTGTACGAGTGCCTCGATGTTTGTGATGCATCCTGGTGCTCACTCTCTTCCGTGGGTTGTGTCCATGAAGGCAACCAATCAAACGTCTTAACCATCTCTCCACGTTTGTCAACCGGGTCAGCCGTGCTAATCCAGCAGCACTAGGCTTGGGGCCAATCAACACTCTAGAGTCACACCATGTCTGCGAAAGACTCTGGGAACTCTGGCGGGGGCGAGGCCGGCCCAACTCACGAGGACCTTAGGACGGCCATCGACGACGCCGTGGGCGACGCCAGCACCAGACTGGAGAAGATGGTGACGGAGAAATTGGAGGGCATCATGGACTCCTTGTCCCGATTAGTGCCCGGGGCACCGCCTGCCGGGAGTACGACCGCGGCGGGCGGCGGCGGAGAGTCATCGGGAGGGGCGCACACCCTTCCGGGCGCTGGGTTTTCGACGGACCACGCGGCAAGTACCGGACGGGGACTCGAGGGAGCGAGAGGACTGCTAGGCCCAGCGCCACGAGAGCACACGCCATCCGAGGGAGTCATCTCGCGAGAAGGCGCCCACAGCGAGCAGGCCGCATGGTATGCCACATACTCACACGCCCGGATCCCGCGCCAGAAACAACTAAGCTTTGATGGCCATGAGAAGAACTGGCTCATGTTCAAAAACGAGTTCACTACGCAGGTCCAAACATACATGCGGAATGGATCGTGCCTTGAATGATAGCAGGGATATTGTGGTACAAGGTGTAGATGATGACGGTATGGTAAGGCAGGGAGTGAGGAGAGAGGAGATTGCCATGTGCCGAGATCTGTGGGTATTGATGACCGAAGCGATCTCAGAAAGTGCGACCAAGATTATGGTGTTTGGTTGCAAAGAACCCTCAGCAGCGTGGCGTGCGTTGGAAGAGATATTTTCTCCGTTGACAGGCGGCGAGCAAATATCACTGATGGCAAAGTTTGTCGACGCCCAACAGGGAGGGGAAGAACCAGGATCCACTAGTGTTCTATCAGGAGTTCAAGTTCATAGTGACCAGCCTAGAGTTGGCATTTGAACAATCCATCCCAAAGATGCTCGTTTATGCGCGATTCCTCGTCGACGCGCTTTCACCGGAATTCGAACTTCAAAAGCAACAGTTGCTCGCCCAGAAAACACTCGATGAAGAAGAGATTTTGAGAGTGTTGCGCACACGGGCTGGGCAACTGAAAGTGGAGGTGACAAAGGGGACGAGTGAACGGCGAGCGCACCAGGCAGTCGTAGCAGTAGAGGGGAAAGGGAGAAGGAAGAGACGGTCGAAACAAACCAGAGGGGACGAAGAGGCGTACCTGGCCAACGATAAGAAGTCAGTCAGGTGCTACATTTGCGATGGGGACCACTTTGCAAGTGCATGCCCAGAGGAGTTTGCCAGAGGTGCGGGAAAAAGGGGCACAACGCAAAGAACTGCCCATCGAAATCTACGGACGAGACTGCAGTCACCGCACTCGAGTTGGACGTAGCATACGACGCACTCTGATGATATCTTGATCCGTTTTCCCCCGTAGTGCCTCAACGTCCCTCCCCTTGCGTGCGTTGCTTGCGAATCGGCTTGTCNGAGTTTGCCAGAGGTGCGGGAAAAAGGGGCACAACGCAAAGAACTGCCCATCGAAATCTACGGACGAGACTGCAGTCACCGCACTCGAGTTGGACGTAGCATACGACGCACTCTGATGATATCTTGATCCGTTTTCCCCCGTAGTGCCTCAACGTCCCTCCCCTTGCGTGCGTTGCTTGCGAATCGGCTTGTCGGCATTTTCCTTTTGCGACTGTTGAATTACAATAATGTGGAATTTTTTTCTTGTGTGTTATTTTCCGATTCACTCGCTGTTTTCCTCGTGTTTTGATCGGGATAAGAACGCAGTCCACGAAGAAACTCGATGTTGCTCATCCGGTATACCATGCTCATCTCAGCAACTAGTCGAGCAGATCGAAACATGCGGCTTCGTGCTCGATGAAATACTGAGGATGGTGTGGTATTCCGTGNTGCGACTGTTGAATTACAATAATGTGGAATTTTTTTCTTGTGTGTTATTTTCCGATTCACTCGCTGTTTTCCTCGTGTTTTGATCGGGATAAGAACGCAGTCCACGAAGAAACTCGATGTTGCTCATCCGGTATATCATGCTCATCTCAGCAACTAGTCGCGCAGATCGAAACATGCGGCTTCGTGCTCGATGAAATACTGAGGATGGTGTGGTATTCCGTTGTTGTCTCATTTTGAGGACTGGTGATCCGCGGGGCACCGCGATCACACCAATTCGATTGACGATGTTCGGAATTACGTTCTCAGCCTTCGTTTTTCCGACTTGTGTGGAGGCCAGGATATTCGTATCTTCTTATACTTACACACGCACATACAAAGGGAGTGAAGAACATCCGACAGACGATAATTCACCGCTCTGCTCTGGATCTTTACTCTGTGGGTTATTCACCCCGACCTGAGTCGGGATGGATCTTTATGGTTNGGGTGCAGCAAGACGGGGGGCGAAAAACAAACACATATATATTCCGCTGAGGTATGACCCCTCTGATGGATGGCGACCAGTGTCTCTCATTTTTCGCAGGTATCAACAGTAGTTGGGTGATGATCTGTTTTGANACTCACACTGAGTTGAGGGTATTCATATTGGCGTCGACGAAGAGATTCGAAATCTCGCGGGCATAGCCCAACGGCTTGCAACTCACCCAGCAAGCCCACCGATGGCGGTCGCGAGGAAGGAGAGATCCCTCCGGACGACCCCACACGCGCACTGGCTGCAGACGTTCTCGCGAATCTCCAACAAGCAGCCACCACTGCTNCCTTTCATTGATGTACAGGTCGAGGGGGGCACCCTTCCCTGTGATGTGATTGATTGCCCGCTTAAATGTCCTTCAGCTGAGAACAATGGAGCGTTGGTTTTCGCTTTTCTGTTATGGATTGACAACGGTGCTCTGGGTTGTAGACGGGCCCCGGTGCTGACAGCAGCTTGATACAGAATGGGATCCTGTTGCTGGGAGGGAGCTACTTGTAAAGGGGTACATGTATCATGAACTACAGCATGAAGCCCGAGAAGCAATACAGAAAGCAAAGGACATGACATTTTATTGCCTTCTAGTCGAGTCTTCGTAGTTATAACCGCGTTCCAATCCCGCACGGCACCGACGTCAGGAACGAACGTGTTGGCCAACTCCCAATCGCTTGCTTTGGGGACACACAACCCGTGACTCTCGAAGCAACCGAAAGGATTGCCTCGATCCAAGAGGAACCAATCCAAAGGACAAAAGTAAGGGCTCTTCTTACCAAAAATCAAACTTTCCCTGCTTCGGCTACAACTTAAGCCATCTCTGACCCCCGCCGAGTACCAACCCTACCACCAACCCCAAATAGTCGGCAGCGAGAATGAGACGGTCGGGGGAAAGCCCAACGCAAAAACAGCCTGTTGCCACTCCAGGAGTGATACATACCTTCAGTAGGGACTGTGTGGATGTCGCACATCCCGCCCACCAACCCAGTGGTGGCGATAGTCTGAGATCGAAACTCACTTGGCAAAGAATATCTGACTTGCTCTTGTGTGCACGCCAATGGGCTCTCCATCCATAACGAGCTTCTTGAAAACAATCAAGGTGTCAAACGACGACGGTGATGGTCTGCGTGCCTGCTGCTGATGCGCACCAGCAGGAAAGGTATAACGCTCTCGTCATGTAGATGCTCCATGTGGGCTCTCGGCAATTCACCTCAGACTCAAATCAAGGCCCACGCCCCCCCCCACGTTGTCTACGTGTTGACCGTGGAGCACACGGGACTTTCCGCCCTGAAGATGAAGGCGTCGAAGCGGGTTCCAGGTGCTCTAGCTCAAATTGAAGCCAAGGCCCAAGGGACCGTCAACGTGGTCTGCGTGTTGACAGTGGGGCGCACGCCAAAAACTGTGAACTAACGCGCGGCCATTGGTCAAACGATATTTAGTAGACGCGGCTGTCAATCGCGAAATCATGCTGGCAGTCGGACACATGCAGAATGGGACTGGCGAGTCGTCACGGAAAGACCAAGCAAACAGCATTGCGTCGATTTGTTTGACCTAGCACTTGAGCATAGGATTTTAATGCACCCTTTTTATCGCAGACGACCGAACCCCTCTCGCCCTCTCCAAGGGGTGCATGGAGGAAAAAAAGAAGGAAACATTATGGCGCGGTTCGATCGCTGCTGTTTTGGTATGTCTACCAGGCACATCCCCTGGATACATGCCCGTGCCGTTCTTAGGCAGGAGTGACTCACAATCTTCCTCGGTCCCGCGAATGGCCTCCATGCCATGCATGACGTACTCCCCGCTGGCTGCACGAGTTGGAATCAACGTCTCTCCGAGGACCCCCTTCGCACTCAAGCTCACGTCGTTGTGATCGACAGCCAGATTCATCTGCCAAGTCACATGGTCCGGTAGCCCGAGCTCCGCGATCTGGTGGCGTCTCCCGTGGCTTAGGCGGACAACCGCGGTCGGTGTGACGATCTGGAAAGACGTGTGCTCGGATTGATGGGCGAACAAGTCACCATCCACGCTTCCCGCCACGTGACGGGCGACATACTCCGTACACTCCTCCACATTGGTCGCGGTGGGGTCGCCAAGTATCCATTCACCCATCGATTGCTCTGTTAGAAGCCCGCGGCCGCCAGCCTGCGCGTACTCGAGCTTCTTCCGCTCCCAGTACTTCTCGAACCCGAACGATCGGCAGGCACCGGGAATGTTGACAGCAGAGACCTTAACGTCTGGAGCAAGCTCAACCGCACCAGGGGCAAACAGGGTCTCATTTCCATCGAGCACCACGATCAACGAGCCATCCGCAAGGCAGGGGGACACTCCGGGCGGGCAGTCACTATCCAGGTTGTGTGGATCCTTGACGGAAATGATGATGCTGTGTTCTTGGCCACCTCCATCGGTGGTGATGAGGGAGAGCCCGGTGATGTACGTGATGTCCGGCCGGGAAGAGACGGGCGCCGTCACACGCATGTTAAGGTGCATGGACGGCAGGTCTGAGATAAGGCAGTACCACTGACCGTCGTTGCCCGTGAAGTCGAACTTCTGGCCGTGGAAGCCGGTCATGTGGGGGTCGCCTGCAGAGCGTCGGGGTTTCGACCGATTTCCGGCAACAGGGTAGCAAAAACTGCTATATTTTTGGCGGTAGAATCTATATGCCGGCTCAGGGTGTCTACATGTACTCTTCTGAGCTTAGCCTCCACCCCTGCCACAGGACCAAAGGAATGGTTCTAGACGCTCCAGCAAGGCAGTCAACTGTTGTCTTGATAATCTCTCAAAAGGAGCCCGTCACCTCTGCCACAACATTCGAGGAGGTAAGACATACCACAATAATATCGGTTTTGCGTCGTATGACGGATGCACGCGTCACGCAGCATAGAGAACCTCTCACACCGTCGCCATCGCTCACCCCGATCAGACCATCGGATGTTCGACATGTCTCAAGGCAGAAAAAAACAGCCCGTCTGTCGGAATTACTCCTCCTGGCACTCTATAGCTCACCGCCAGCGGTAGGGTCCGTGAGGATGGGCACCTCGCACACCAGTTTCACTAGGGTGCATTCCTCGGGAAGGGTACAGTCGCCATCGTCCACGCACCCTACGCGCCCGAAACGTGAACGCGGGGGAGCGGGGGGAGCGGGCGAGGAAAGCCATGCCCATCAGAGCCAAGTGTCTTGTGGGAAGAGGCTCCATCTCGAGCAGATCGAGGGCCTCGTGAAGTCTCAACAGTACATCAGCGAAAGTCTCTCACGATGTGAACATAGAAGCCCCCTGCGATTGTCGCGCACCCTAGAGACCTATTTCCCATCCACCACAAGAATATCTCACTCTAGACTATGTAGTCTCATGCGCTCGGTGCTGGACAATGCTCTTGAGATGAATGTTGCCCGCAAGTGAAGGCTGGTAGATAATTGGCCGAACGGAACCAATTGTTCTGTAAAGGATATGCTAACCGATACGTACTTTCAACAAGGTCAGATGGACGGGTTCTGCATCGTTCCGAAAAACGTTGCACTTTGACGGCGTCCACCCAGTTCAAGGTGCGTACCTGTTGGCTCCTTGACTGCCGCGCGGTGATCGACGGAAGGTGATGGGTTGGCGCAAGCAAATGACGACAGGGGAACAGAAGGGCAAGGCAGCATAGGTTTAGTTTTTTCACGGTGTTTCTTTTCCACCATGTTTTGATAAACCTGTGCAGAGCTTCCTTTCGTTCAGGTTTAAGAGGGTGGGTGAGGGTTAGCTAGCAAGGCGAATTTACCCCTAGGACGTGTTACAGTGATTGCCTCGTTTCGTCGACGTTGTTCTTTGTGTCCCATGTTTGTGTACGTACGCTTGTGGTTTCATTCGTGATTGTCGTCATGGTATGAACCAATCCTCCAGCATCCTTTACGAGGCGTACAAGTCCTTTGATCATCCACAGTAAGGCATCTATGCAAACGCAATGGTCGCCAGGGATGTATGTGACGGTGACACACCACACTGGGGGGGGCTTTAGGGCTGTGCAGAAAGGCACCGTTCATTGGAATCTGGGGCCTTGCCATGCACGCTGATGGGGTCAAACAGCACCTTCCCTTGCGTATGGCAGAACGTGCACCTTTGAGACCGCGGTGCCAATCGAGTTCATGGCAGAAATACTTCGTGGGCAACTTTTCTGTCACTTTGACCCCAACTACGTACGTATTCGTACATAGCTGACTGTATCTCGGCATCACACTGGCTTCCCCTGCTATGCGATCTCACTCTCGAGGCGTGCGTATGCCGTAGGCTACAGGTGAATCGGACCGGCACGTGGTCGCACCAAACCGGCCCTTGGCGCCGGATTAATCAAAGTCGAGACTCCTAGGGCCCACAACCATGTCAAACGAGTGTCACGAGCGAACTTGGAAGCCATTGCACTTGAGGGTTGATATAGACTTCATCCCGTGGCAGGGAACAAGAAATCGGAGGGGAGCACGTATGAGACCTGAGAGGGGGGTATTCCGCAGCGCGTGGACTCCAGCATGGCACCTGCGGGACTGGCCGTATCTGTGCCTACTCTGCACGAGATCATATCATCCACACCACACGGCAGAACGCAGTTCGACACTTGCTCACCGCAGTCCGAGGCCGGGTCGAGGCAATCGAAGCCTGTTCCGGAACCGCAGAGCGCGGTGGCAGGGTCGCTCTCTCGACAGGTGCAGAGGCATGGTTGAGTGGTGTAGTCACAATTGTCGAAATCATCTGAAAGACAGCGTTGAAGGAGGGAGGGTGGCGCGAGATTTGAGAAGGATCTTTTGGGCGGCCAGGGTTGAACGGTGAAAGGCGTAGGTGGCGGCACGGCTCTCCCGGCCCTCAAAGTCAGCAGCTACTACAGCCCGACAACAGTACGCGCTCGAAACATGGAGGCCAGTGTTGGACAGTGCAAACCGTTGGCGCTGGCCCGGCTCGCTTCAGCTCTCCCGTAGCCACCAGCAATCGTCTACGCGCTCGTAGTTCGGTTCGTCCAGTCACGTCTCCGAAAGCCCGATACTCCATTGGTATGTCTCGTTGGACCCCGGGGATCATCTACGACTAGCTAGTGGCCTTCAGACATATGTACAAGCACGCCTAGTCGAGACAGGTTTTCGGCGCTTCTCAAGCAATCGACATCTGAAACTTACCAAATGAAAGCGACGGACAATCCCCACTGGGAACGGTGTAAGCGCCATTGTCGGGCAATGCTTCGTCCACTGCAAAACAGATCGACGTGTGGGAAGGAGGGAAGGGAAGCGTTGTCACAGGTCGTTCAGTCGGCAAGTTGGGAAGGGTGTGGAGTTGCTGCTGAACGTATTTCGATACTTTTTCCAGCCAGCTGGGCAAGGTTTGCTGTTGGGCGAGTCTAGCCTAGCTATGGCATCAACGAAGGGCTGACCACCTACGCCTGTCCTTTCGAGACGGATGAAGCTGTTGACAGGAAAGGTTCGATGACGCAGCAGCAACCTAGGCTGTATGGACAACAGCAGTCGTACCAGAGGGATAGTTGTTAGGGTTGAGGCTGAGTGCATGGAATCCCATTGAAATATTCACGTTTGGAATTCTATGGACACTGAACGAATGCGACGAGAAGCCATGAAATTTCACTGGAGGAAATCACGGAAGTTCTGCTTTAACGCTGTTGAATTTGCCACGAGTTCCACGTCCACGGCACTCCACGGTACACCATTGGATTTGTGGAATTCCTTGGCTAGAAGTGGTTTTCTACGGGACTCAATAGTCTTCCACCCAAACCCTCGGTGCCACCGTGGTGATTTAGTCTGCGGAGCGCCATAGAATCTCCGGGAACCTCCGTGGAACTCCATTGCAATCCATGTGTAGGGCACCCAAAAAGCGCTTTGTCTGATTGAGCCGCCCAAAATACGCTTGTGAGCGCAGTCGCGGGTTTGGCCTCAGTTGATCTTAGCATGGGTGGTTTGGGCGACATGTTCGACGAACAATTCTCGTTGAAAATCGTACCGATCGTCATTTAACCTACCGGCACACAAGAAATGGCTCACCTACGCAGTCCCACGCCGGGGTAACGCATGTGTTGTCTCCGTCGCACGCCTGGTTCGAGCAGTCACATTCGCAGCAACTGACAGTGCACGCGAGACAGGGAAATACACCGGGCGCAAGGTGGGGGCTTGGCGTGCAATCGATATCACGTATTGTTGTGGGTCGACGGTTGACCAGGTTACGCCTTTCGATGCGGGCAAACGCGCTCCTGTTCCTCTTCGGGAAGTCTTGACAGTCGGTGCTTCAAATCGCCGGGGAGTTCCCGCAAATTGGATTTCGCCATCATATTACATTCCTTCACGTAGCAAAGAACGATTCCTTGGTTGCCCGGAGAGCTGTGCCTCTTGCAAACTGGAGCGGAACGCACACCACCAAATGCACAAGCTGCACCCATTTCTCCTCGTCAAGGCGCGTGTCGGGGTGCCTTCTCTCGACCGTACAACTACCACGACCACCAAGCACGAAACCCGGAACCGCTGGATAATCCCCCAAGGTCCTCTCAGCAACTGCAGGAGCTTGACTCACTCTCCCCCGTCGTATCCGCAAGCCTCGATGTTGTTCGCTGCATACGGATGGCACCAGACAAGAGAGTGGCAGCAGTGAGTTAGAAGGGATGGTGAAGATCGGCAACTTCCAAGACCATTTTCTGATGACATGTTTAACGATGACAATCCGATGGCGGCGTCCTGTTTTGCTTCATGGGGCCTGCAAAATGCTCCGGCGTGTGAAGCTGCGGCTTGATGATATTTCGACGGGCAGAACGTGCGGATATCAACGGTTCTCGTACCGCCTTTGTCCGACAATAGCAATCCCTCCACTTCCCTCGCTAAGGGTATCGCGTTGGACTGGTTAATGCCCGAAAAGGGCGGGCGATGACAAGATTTTTCACAATGATTGTCGACAGGCAAGGCGCAGCATCGAACGTTTTTACACTATGAATATTTCCACTCGCTACTGATCTACAAATAGCACCATTGCACCCTTCGCTATTGAAAACGAAGCTTATCTGCAACAACAGCTACAATAGTTCCCTCACGCACCCCCTCACGCACCCCCGTGCGTACGTACGCCACAGTTGACCTAGATCAGTTGATCAGCTTCGCTATTGTGAGCATATTGCGAAGCTCCAAATCCTAGATCGGGGAGCAAACTGAGATCAAGGACGCGCAAACCCGGCGGGTGAGCTGTCCACGAACGATCCACTTGCGTCGGTGCAAACGATCGAAACTTGAGACTCACCGGGGTCGCAGACCTTGTCGCCCATGTTGCGCGTGTCACCGCCTGCCACACCGCACTCATCTGAATGTCGCGGAAAATCAGAGAAGCGCAAGGACGGAATGATGCCGCAATCTCCGATCGGGTACATAGAGGTACGTTTCATTCCTACACGGAATACGGCCATCGTAGACTGGGCCATGCGGGAAAAGGTGTGCTTGTATATGTATGCACGCAATTTACCATTAATGATCGAAATAAAATGTCGCGATGGTCCCTCTTTGCCCGGCGGTAAGGATGCACCCCACAACTCCCGTTGCAGCAGCTCTCTGAGAGACGCTATCGGAGCGCTTCTGGTCGTGAAAATCTCAACATATTCAGTTCGATTTCCACCGTTCACAAGCCGGTTGACGGGTTTTCCACTGCCTCATATTGTTCACCTAGGCACTTGGTCGGGGTGCAAGGTTCATATATCAACAAGTTCCGGAAGAACAACGTCTCATCATCCCATGGCCATCTCAGAGCGTCTCCACCGACAAATGAATCATCACTATTTAGGCCATTTGAGGTGCAGACGGTTGAAGCCTCGCCAACAGAATTGTTGATATCCCTTCTGGCATGTGGAACACCGTGTTCGAATTTCCACCGCATGCTTAGGAAGCACCGCGGGAAGCTCCCTCAAACATCCGCTGTTGCACTGGAACGTTTACTAGGCATTTTGGAGCCATTCTCACCGCAATCCGGGGCCGGATCGATACAATTGTAGCCGGAGCCGGAACCGCACAATGCCTCTGCAGGGTCGCTCTCTCGACAGACGCAGAAGCATTTTTGGCCGATGCTGACGTCACACACGTTTGGATTGACTGAACGACATCACAAGAATAGGTCCGGGAAATGCCAGGTTGAGATGATACGAGCGCAAGAGCGATATTTGAACCGGGAAGGGCACTTTTGGCGCCCTGCTTTAGACTTTGCGAATCTTCGTCGCTCGCTGCCACGGCTCGCTCCCCTCTCCAAATGAGAGGCTAAACATCTTCCAGTAGCAGCAGCAACAGTGCGCTCGGCTTCATGTTCACCGAATTACATCAATGAAAGGCCTATTCTGCCACACGTCCCACCGGACCGAGAATATACTGGACTACAGGGTGCCGTGGTAACTTCAGACAACCGACGTAAGTCGTACCTCATTGGGACGCGTTCAGGGCTTTATCGGCATGTGGAACTTACCGGTCGAAAAACTCGGACAAAAGCTGGTTGCCCCCTCGTTATAAGAATATCCTGAGGAGGATGATGTTTCGTCCACTGCACAACGGAGCGACGTGGCGGAAATGAAGGAGACAAGCATTCAAGCAGTGGTTTGTTGTTTGGAAGGCTGCCCTTTGCCTTCTCCACCCGTTTTGAAGCAATATACACATGGTCTACACAAAAGGATCACGCGTTCTCCATATGCGCCCTCCCTCTCGCTCTGTTCTCAGCGTTCCATTCAATCATCAAAGGCGTCCGTTACCCTGGGCATGAGAAGTGTGCCGGGCCTATGCATCAAGGGGGGACTCTTCCTCAGGGCTCTCGCGCATGCGTTACTCCAATCAAGGGTGCTACCAGAACGTGGGCTACAGAACAGCGCATCGGCTCTCCTGCTTCACGTGGTGTCGAATTCTCTTGTACACTAAACTTCGGAGGCCGTAGGCTGCCACTTGTGGAGACTAGGGTCCCCCGTCCCTGGCCTGTTTCCCAATCGGAGGCATGCCCTACGCTTGCGAAAGGCTATTGCCACAAACAACTCATTCTTCGAATGACCCTCTCATGCCACCACCAAACGTGACGCTTCAGGCATATTTGGGGCAGAGGTCTGGTCTGACTTTGTCGACGTCGCTGATTGGCCGAGCCAAGCTTTTCCAGAGACGGCACACCAGTATTGATGCGACCACCCGAGTCGTTTATCAATGTGCTTAAATCTGCTGTAAGTTTCCATCCGTCATCTACTCTAGCCTACGCCACGACAAGAGATTGAGTGTCCAGGGTAGCTTCAACATGGCACGTGAGAACGAAGAATCACGTCGACTACGGTTGCTGCTAACTAGGATATCGAAAGCTCAAACACCCTTCCAGTGGCCTGAAACCGACGAATCCAACTATGATTTCCTCACAAGGCCGACTACAGTAGTGCGGTTCAAGGCTCCAATTGACGCTCCGGCGAATTCGCGTATCATATCATAAAAGCAGAGAGCATCGCCGTTACGTGATGGCGGTAGCGGTTCATTCCAGCGATGAGAACGAGCATAGGTCCCTCACCAACTTCACATCACCCATCCTTACACTAGGAAAGCGTCTTCTGTAGTGTTGGTGTAGACAGAGCACATCGGCGTACGTATAGCAGTGTCGCCTGCACGCAGCTGGCAGAGCTGTACTGATCGAACCACAGAGGATACGAATATCAGCCCCCTTGCCGTCGCGAGGTATGTCGCAGTAAGTCTCAGCTTGGGTGAGATGGGCGCGAAGTGTGAGGAACACTTCCCGGCCTATAACGATACCCATCGAGCACGGTACGCGTACGCAAGATCGCCAAAAACGATTCTTGCAAGTGTGGCTCACCTACACAGTCCCACGCCGGGGTAACGCAGGTGTTGTCTTCGTCGCACACCTGGTTCGAGCAGTCACATTCGCAGCAGCTGGTAGTGCAAGCGAGGCATGAAAACACGACGTGCGGAGGGTGCGGGCGTTGGAATGCACTCGATACCGGTTGTTGTTGTGGATTGACGGCTAACCATGCATGGGGGGCGACGTGCTGCTTCCTGTGTGGGAATCTTCACGTAGGTGTTTGGTGCTGCTAAATTCCCGCAAAACGGCGGTGTTGGCCCCTCATTCCTTTCCTCGACCCGTTGTGACTGGCGGCGTGAAACACCGTCGCGCGTGAAAAAAATCGTTTTGCCCCCAGCAACTCGTAACCAAGTGGCCATACGCGTTCGTACGGTACAACCACCAAATACATACATTTCGCGACCAAACCTTTTCCTTGCTAGAGCGCACGTTCTCTCGACCATACAACCGCCACCGAGCACGACACGCAAAAGCGCTGCGCAAACCCTATTGCTGCTCTCAGGCACTGCCGTAGCGTTTCACTCACTCGCCCCCGTCGTATTGGCATTCGTCGACGTTGTTCTCTGCAGACAAGCACACGGCAAGAGGAGGGCAATACGCTGAGTTAGCACAAGGCAAGGAATAGCGATGATCTGCGAAACTGCAGTCACGTCCACGAGCACTTCTGTCGGAGCAATATCCGGTGGGTCCACAAATTCGTGCGATGGATCCTGTTAAGTGTCCCAGGCGTGTAGGGCTGCGACCTGATAGTATACCGGTTGTCAGGAGAGGAGGACATCGACGGTTCTCATCCGCTCTCTCGGCGCGAAACTAACAATTCCATCTACGTTCCTCGCCGACGTTGTGTAGTGCGGGAAAAAAATCGCATTGGTGCGGGGTCGAATTGTCTTGCTGTACCCTTAGCCCACCAGGGTGTAGAATCGAACACGAAACACATCACGAATGCCTAGAAACAATGCCGAGGCCAGCTGCATACCCCAGGCTGCATCCAATTTCGAACGAAAACGGACTACACAAAAACACGAAACACGAAAACGCACTAAAACCGTAGTGATTTCGGCGTGTGGGGCATCTTGAAGCTGCAAACCCGATGCCTGGAGGAAAACCACCAGAAATCTGGGATCGGGCCAATGCGCCACGGTAGCTGTCCACCACGTAATTGACCGACAGCTTTGTCTCACCGGGGTCGCAGACCATATCTTCGATGGTAGCCGTGTCTCCGCCCGCTCCTCCGCATTGTTCGGTGGCTGCTCGATGCGACGACCACCCAGGGACAGCAAGGGGAAGGCGAGTGTCTTAAGACTCAGAACGAACACCTTGCACAAACTATTCTATGACCTTGCCGACGTTGGCGGAACGAACGAGCAGACATTGTGTGCCCTCATGAAACAGCACGAAATTCTGGTGTGATATGGTGGTTCATTCCTTTGAGGAGTTAAGCTTTCAACACGTTGTTTTGACCGCGCTCTCCGACGTGATTCCTTCAGCCTTCAGCATAGTGAGCTACCTGATGAGTTTCAAAACATGATATGAACTTGAAGCGTGAAACCGTACAATATGGGGCAGTATATGAGTGTGTCCTGTTTTTACTGACGCAAACATGGGTCTGAGCCGAACTGATTGCCCAACATGGTCTACAGACGAAACATCTCGACCGGCATCAATAGTGACCCTGACGCAATACTTGCTGAGACCACAACACCAAGCTACACACAGAGCAACAGGAAGCATTGCATAGTTTCAACAAACGTTTTTAAACAATCGAGAAAACTCGTTTCCCGTGCTCAGATGGCCCAAAGCTCTCTATTGGTTGCTAAATGACGAGAACAGCATGATCTGATTCAGATCCTGGTTCTTCCACATACGCGTGTCGTCCAGACCCGAAAAAAAAAAAACGTCGGCGGGGGAGGCCAGCGGCACCACAGACAAATTCCAATCAGTACGTTGAATATCATTTAAGATGTACAAAGCAAGCATGAGTGTTTCGATGCTTAAGACTTCGTGTAACTTCGTCACCTCGCACTGGTGGAAAGCTGCGCTTGAAGACGAGCTTCCGAACTGACGGCGATGTTCGGGCAATTTGGCAAAGAACCACCCTGCCTCTTCCCGAAACGACTACCTTTGTGATCTGCGAGAACGTAGACATTTTCCGTGGGAGGGCAGCTATTTACTCAGCTCACCGCAAATCCCGGCAGAACCGCAAAATCCGACGCAGCAGTCAGAATCTACGGTACACGTATCCCCATCATCGGAGCAGACGAAGTCTCCGTCATCTCTGAACTCGGACACAGCCACCTGGGAAACAAGAAACAAGTTACCGCACGCTACCGATTAGCCGTAGAGCATCGCGTAGGTGCCCGAACACCGTCAATCAGAGGGAAGTTCCGATCACGTCATTGACGGCAAGAGGTGACAAATCTCGAACTCCGGTTTCGGCGGCGCTACAGGTCACGAATAGTCTTGGCCTCGACATGGACTCGTCTGTTCCAGCGCTAACTTCCTGTGCGGTCGGGCCCAAATAGATGAACTAGCCTTCGAACGAAAGCTTGTGTTGTTTGGTTAGCTCCTTCTCTACAAAACATTCAACACAATATGCCGGGCGAAGAATGGTACAGGTACATGCAGATCTCGCACACGGCAACTTCAGAGCTAGATTTGATCTTGGGACGCTCATCATCGAAAAGGCAAGCACGTGTGTTTATCTCCTCTAGCACTACGCGCATGAACGGAGGCCGGCTGAAGGTTTCCCCGGAGGACTCCTTTCTGTCTAAAGTACAGATACATGCAGATCTCGCACACGGCAACTTCAGAGCTAGACTTGATCTTGGGACGCTCATCATCGAAAAGGCAAGCACGCGTGTTGACCTCCTCTAGCATTATGCGCATGAACCGAGGTCGGCTAAAAGTTCCTCGGAGGACTCCTTTCTGTCTTTTTTTCTCGGTGGAACGGGATCCCTCGAAAGTAAGGGTGCACACGTCTTGTTGTGGAATCCCGTCGACGTATATCTGCCTCAGTACTTCGGTCATAAATATATATAACTCCCCGCCTGCAAAGAGGAGTTTTTCGTGGCGACAGGAACCCTCTCTGTGCTTCCACCGCCCTGAGCGAGGTTTTTCATATCCTCCAATCGCCCCATTCTTTTCTTGCACCTCGTAGAAAGGAAACATTGCCTATAACGAGCACGATCTTTCTGCCGCAGCCGGCGAAATATGGGGTAGTACTATTGAGTCGCCTGTCCAATTCTCACCATGCTGTCCTCGATGCACCGAGCGTTGTCTGCGGCTGCGGTGCCCGTGGACTTGTTGAGGTAGGTCACGTTCGGATTGGAGAAGTAGTTTACCCGTGGCACGATGGGGTCGTCCTCACTCGTCGGGTCTCCGCCGCAACCGTTGTGGTAGTACGACATGATGGTGCGGTAGCTGTGGGCACCGCACCCAGGTTGGTTTGTTCATGACGACAGATGGCGTAAGAGATGAAGGTGTTCAGGGCACGTACAATACAGGTGTCTAGCGATGATAGAACCGATGGTCTCGAGGTCAATACATTCGATTTCCCCGCAGCCCATCAGTGTTTGCCGTGATTTATTTCACTTCCTTGACATGCGTGGAACACCCGCAAAGCCTCGGCCCGTTCAGAACAACCGCTGGATACACATCTGAGGACGCTGGAGAACAACGGATCATATTAATGGAACGACAAGGGTTGTCCCACTCGATTCACAATCGAGGATCTGAGATTTCCCTGCCAAAACGATTACCGTCTGCGCTCGATTTGCGGTAAACTTCGTGCTGCGATGGAGTACATCTCTAGGTGCGTCCTACGGTAGATGGGCCGTGGAGCGAGAGACGGCGGGCGCTCGCGTGTGCAGATAGCTGTCCCCCCATCTCAGGTTTCCTTGCGTTGCTTCGTGGAGATAAGTATCAATTAGAATCCTCAACATTTATTGAGAGCGTTTCGAAAATCACCATATTGCCGAGAGCATGACAACGTGGGACCATGATTCCCTGAAAAAATCGAATCCAAGAAAAATTCCAGGAGGCGTTTTCCCCCGTTGTGGAAAGGCGATTCTATCGTCAACTTGTGCATTTGAACGTCGACCAAAATTCAGGGCTTGTCCACTTCTCGATCCCAGCAGCCATGAACGGTGTTCGGGGATTAAAACTCTTCGAACGTGTCTAAGTTGCTAGCCCCGTCGGAAGGATTTTTCCTGCAGACTCTGCCAACATGGTGTGACACCTACTTACGGATCGGCGCCCTCGCAGTACCGCCACCCATGGCGGTAGGCGTGCTGCGTGTCGGAGTTGTTTTTGTCGTGGTAGCACCCCATGTTGTGAGCTATCTCGTGGGTGTGCGAGAAATTGTCGAAGCAGTTTGAGTCCACGAGGGAGAAGCCGAACGCGGCGTCACCGTTGAAAATATACCTACAATAAAAGCACAGACAGGTCAGTTGGGCGCGCGGAATGTATGGAGCCGGTATATTGACATAGGATCCATGTCACGTGGAACGACCGCACCAACATCGTTCTTACGTTTAGGTGCATCAGGTAGGGTCCGGGTGTACTCCCCGTGCTTCGCAAATTAATTCTCGCGAGACCCCGTGATGATACCTTACGCGCTAAGTCGCACGATGTTGGCGCAACCGTAGGGAAGCCCGGCTCAATTGAACAGGATTGCCTTCCATCACGTAATATCTACACGTCAAACCTTTTGTGTCTCAATTTGATATTCCCGCATGCTATGCAACGCCCTCAAGCCGGATCATCGCATCCGGCGTCATGCTGTGCTTACCCTAGTCCACACGTTCCCGGGAAGTATCCGACCAGCTGCACCAGGTCCCCTTGGTATTGGTTGCGTAGATCAGTCACGTTGCTGTTCGCAGCCAACGCATCAAGCTCCGGCTTGAGGTCGATGTCGTCGCTAGGGATGTACGCCATCTGGCTGTACGGCAACTGCTCGCAGCCAACACCGGGAGCGCCATCGACATTCTTACGAGTTGTCTTCGCAAATGTCAAACCTCGCCTTGGTGGAAACATATCCTGCTATAGGACTAGCGAAAGCACCCCTCTGCAAAACTTGACAAGGGATCGAGCTTGCGGAACGTTAAAAAAGAGCATGAGGCCGCATCCCGCTATCTCTCCTTGGGCGTTCCCTCCAAGTTGACCGCGGGGGCTGATGGATTGTTGTGGTGCAAGGGTGTGCCCCCGCGAATCGTACCCGACGACTTTCGGTCCGTCACCTCTGGCCAGACCGCAAAAATTTTGTCACAGTATGCCAAGTGCCTCAACTCAATTACCCGAGCGCACGAGCCAGTATGTTTTCGTCACATAATTCGTACGACCTGCCGTCAATCTCCACATGCCACGCTAAAGGAGAATGGAAGAAAACAATAAACGGTTCGCCACGACTCCGTGATGTGTCCCCGGCACGGCACATCCCTCACCTCAGCCACTTGGACGAGACGATACTCTAAACCCGCGATTCCTGAGTTTGTGATGGCCTGGTTTAAGGTAACCATGCCCTCGACAATCCTGGTCAACAGCTGCGCCTCAGCGATACCCCGTGCGTAGGCGGCCTCCGGGGAATAGACGATCAGGACGTCGATCTTTCCCAGGCGAAAGGGTGGCGGGCAGTGAGCATGGTGAATTGTCAGGTTGGTTGGTGCCATGGGGTAGTCGAATATGAAGTTGAACTATTTCCCCTCAGATGCCTGAAGCGCACTGTTTTGGCGTCGGACGAAGCCAAAGGCGATGCGGAGAAACTTCATCACACAGCTGATGGTCGCCGTAAGTATGCGGGTCTTGGCACACTGTGCGGTCGTCCTTCCAACTGCGTTTGTTCTAACATGTTTTTCACACAGGGGTATCAAGACGTCGATACGTGCCCGCTATCTGTGCGGAAAATGACAACTACTGGTCCCTAAGATATAAGGCACACCCCGTGCGATAACTCCGATCAGTTCGATTTAATTTAACACAACGCAGCCAGTGGTGTGTTTTGAACACCTCCTCCATGGCAAGACCCCGATATGTGTGATCCTGAATCATTCAAACGGACACACACCAGCACTTTCGTTTGTACCGTGTTAAAGTAAAAGAATCACAACGCAGCGGCCGTTCTTTGTGTTTGCCGGTGAAGGATGGCGTTAGAATGCAGTAATTGCAGCGGGGTATGGCTGCTAGAGGAGAGGTTGGGTTTTGAGTCACAAACAAGAACGCAGTGACCTACAGAAGATGAATGATTGTGTCTTCCACCCTCCGTGGCCAGGTATACGTATTGTTTCCCGGTATTCTCCCCACCCGCATTAGTTGGCTGTGGTTGTCTGGTGTCGTGAGGCTTGTACGTGTTGTATGACCGAACCCGTGTGGAAAGTGGTAATCATAAGGAATGCACCATACTGGGACCCGTGCCCATGCCGCCGGCAGTTTGGGCACGGCAAACGAAAACATCATACTCGAATTGGCTAGCTGAAACCGTGAATTCACGACTTTTGAGGTGTATTGGGTTTTTCCCCTTGGTCTTCAGAAATTCGAAAGGGGCCTCAAAATAGATCCGAACGACTAGATTGTTGAGTATTTATCTTCGCCTTGGCGGTACGTGGATGCGTTACTTATCGTTCCAGGTCTGTACTTGCTCTTCGATTAAGTTCTTATAGATCCAACGTAATTTTTTCGCTTCCGAGGTGGGTGTGCTTTGACCGAGCGGTGTCTTGAAAGGATCGTTAGGCTTCTAATGCACAAAGATATAGACGCGCACACAGCGTTTTGTTGACTAGGATAACCATGGAGGAGCACCTTCCCCACTCCCAACAACTCAAGATGATGTTGGGTCGGGTTGGCTCGGCCGGCGGCGGCAGTTTTCGTGATCGCAAAGCGTTAGGTTTTGGAGTGTGAAGCCTTTCAGCTTTCGAGTATTGATCGACTCTCTGAACCATACAACTGCACCTGCTCGCACCTACGTGAGCGACTGCCGGTATCTCTCGCGGGGAGGGATTTTTCGTCAACAATACAACTTCACTTCGACTCTCCTTTATCTACGCTTGGCACACGGGTTGAGGAGCGTACCACTGTGGTGCCCTGCAGTCTGCGGTCGCTTGACATGCCTTGCGACCGAAGCGACCCCTCCTCCGTGTAGGTCGTCGACACACGTCGTTCCTGGCACGAAATCAAAGGAATGCGTCGAGGGCGATTCACCACGTAGACCCGAAGCAGGGCGAAGAGAAACTGGTCGTTTGGGCGTAGGAAGCGGGCTAGCAAGGCGCAGCACAAAAAGCCCTCGAGGAGCACTCCCCCGGGGTGCTTGGTGAAGGTATATCGACGCACGCATCGTAGCTTTCCAACTCCTGTACTCAAAATGCATGGGTTCGTACGACCATCACCTGGTGCGCAAGACCAGGGGAACTTGTTGGCTTTGTTATGCCCGTCAGGTGTCGGAGAACAAAGCTAGCTTTCTCTTGCCGAGCATTGTCTCAACTCACCTTCAGCATCCGAGAGCCCTGGTCCTTCGAACTGGAACTTGACGAAGAGGATTTTGTGGTGTCCTCAGTCTCACTTTCGTCGTGAAAAAACATTTCGAGCTGTGCGTATTGCGTGCGAGCAAGAGAGAAGCAGCCTCTGATTATGGGTGCCTAAGGCCGTTCTTTCCTGCCGCTCACGTTCAACTGCTTCGGACATTTATTCTAATGCTCGCAATCCCTGAGAACAGCGCAAGAGCGAAAAAGGAATCGTTTGATCCCTTGTCGTTTCGTTCAGTAGAACATCGGGCGTCGCAACTCGGGCAATGGACACTCTGAAACTACGGCAAGCACAGTGACGCACCTGCACTGGTCTTGCTTTATCGTCGTCAACCGTACGTCCAAGTGAGACAGTGGCAATATCGGGTCCACATACAATAGAAGCACACCTGCGCTGACGAACTCCAAGTCCAAGCAGCGACAACCCCCTCACCTCCACCATGCAAATTTCGTTGCTGGATCCGGCGGAGCAGGGTACGGATGTGAAGATAGAGGTGCTGCCGTCTGCGTTTCGTGACACGAGCTTCAGGAGGAAACTCTGAGGACGCATCGAAATCGAACAGTTCCGTAACAACACGGCGGCGACATCAGACACAGGGAACTGCGGCAACCTTGCAACTCTACCCAGATAATGCTCGTTACGGGATGTGGCATGTAGGACGGACAAGATATAGCCGCCAAACAAGCCCCACACGTGGGTGCCCATTTCATGCAGTACACCAGGTACGGCACCTGCTAGCCTGTGCGGCCACCGAGTACAGTTAACCAAGGCCGTCCAGGGCCACGCAGTGGGCTACTAGCAACGCGCCGTTCTGCGTAGGAAATTATCGTAGCCGGTGGCGTTGAGCTACGCTGCACCAGGCGTCGTACCTCAGTGTCGCATGGGTCGGTCCACGTCATACTGACAGTCCTGGGTATGGAATTGGCAGAGGGTTCGGGGTCGACGACTTCTCCCAGCCAGGTCTAGCCACGGACAGGCCCACACCCACCACAGGACGTTGCAGATGTAGACGAGTTGTAGGTAATAGACGCACGATGGAAACGCAGGTGGTGAAGACCAAGACTAGAGAGAACATGCTCGATGGACAAGGGTGTGCCGCCTGTATTCTACTTGAATGGCTGGTCGCCCTATTCTACCTGGAAAAGGCCGTGCGATCCATCGCCAGTCAGCTCATCCTGCGCCCGTGGTATTCAGTTACATTCTCGGACAGGACACGGGACAGCTGGCCCAATGTAGCGTGTACAGTGAACCGCAGTGCATGCGTCGTGGCACGATGCCCTGTGAGCGATGCCGTCCTGCTGTTGATAACTATCGCGACTTGGCTCAGTCAAATATTCATGGACCAAAGTCCAACATGTGGTTTCACAGTATACCTTCAGCAACGTATGCATGCTTGGGCGAAATATGGGGCGGGTTAGGGTTATCATTCGATGTGAACATGTAGAATCTAGGATGTACTCCAATGCGGCTCGTACACCACGAAGTCGAAAATTGTCACTGGTATGTGGACCCCCCTCCCCGCCCCCAACTATGCAATTATTACCAAAGTCCTCTGCAGCTTGAAGTAAAGCCGTGCCTGCCGAATGTGAAACGCTTGGTTAGCCGGAATCCCCAGTTACCCTTGTGAAACGTATCCTGGGCCGGCGAAACCCCAGCATATCACTCCGTCACGGCATTGGAGCGATACGAGGTCAATGGACTAACGACTACGGCATGCGCGTACATGAGTACACCCTCCACAATGCTTGGTGGACTCACCTTGCGCGTGATGCCGTCTGATAGAACGCTGCCGTCGATAGACGAGTAGGAGGTGCGCTCAGCTATCACCGTCTGCGACGTGACCGACAACATCGATTTTGCAACGGCGAAGCATTCGGCGACGGTTCCGTTGTTTCGAAAAGGGTATGTACGGCCTAACACCCAATGTGATATTCCATGGATGGCTGCAGGTCGTGCGGCACCAGCTAGGGTGTAAAGACCATACGTGTGTTGTGGAGAAGGTCTTTAAGCATCTTCTGCCAGGATGTTCCATGCTAAGGCAGTTGGGTCCTGCTGCACATCAGAAAGGCTTGTTCCCTTCGCTGTCACGATTCCTCCTTAGTCCCATGTCACCCACAGTTGTGCAAGGCACAACACCTGCTGCTCGAGTTCATCATTTGCCGACAACCGGCGGGTGCTGGTCCCCCGGACCTCACCTCGGTAGAGCTGATCGTAAATCGCAGCAGGCTAGAGTCTGAAGCATCCTCAAGGCTGTCACATAGCAACTCACCAAGCTCGATGTCTCCCACAACTGAAAGCAGGTTGCGATGCAAATACGGAAGCAGGGGAGGGATCCGAAACAGCAGTGCGCCGGAGGTTGAAGTAGGGCAAGTCGTTGCGCGCAACAATCGGTCTCACAACCGGAGTGTAGTAGTCTATGAGTTTCATACAAGCCCCCATTTTCAAACGAAAAAAAATTCGATGGCATGCGGTCGTGCCAGCTTAAAATTCACACCAGAGTGGCTATGGAAACTCCCGCGGGGGGTTTCAGAGAACGAACCATGGTACCACAAACATGGATGTTGCAAACGTTATACAGAACGAGCTCAGGGATAAGAAACAAGAAAATCAGGTCGAGTCTCAATTCCTTTTTTTCGTCGTCAATATCGAGAATCGGTTGTTTTGAGGAGCTTAGCGTAGGAACCACGTCTGAGTAATGTTTATTTGCCCTCGTTTCTGCTTTTTCGTGAAAATATCTTTCTCAGTTTCTGAATGAAATATGCTTGTCGGCGGGCCTGTTCTGCACGCGGGATCACTTCTACTACATCCGACAACACGCGAGCGGAAACAAGGAAAATGTTCCGCGAGGCCTGCCCCTGCGGCTGGCTGTGTGTGTGGGGACACAGAGATTCCTTTCGAGAGAGACGGAAAATGACGGACGCAGGCCTGAGACGCAATACATCGTCCATGATAGCCCCACCCTTGTCTAGAGCACGTTTGGTTCAATTTGCACAGGAAGGGAAAGATGGCGAATGCGGTGAAACGCTGCACCAAATCCTTCTTTCCGAGGTTAGTGTCTTCGTTCAATCGTGAAACTCGAGGTAGAGGAAAGGAGCGGGGGGGGGGGGGGCAAGCCATGACTGGTTGCAAGAAAAACTCCGTTCGTTGTAGTCGCAGTCTGGGCTGTATCCTTGTTGGACTAGCATAGGAACAACAAGTGGGTTGACAGCGAGCGTATCGTCGACTTCACGCTCTTGTTCTAGCTACAACTGTTCACCAATCGTGAGGTTTACCATTATCATGGAGAGAACTAGCAGCAGTTCCTTCATGTTCGGTTAAGAGACCAAACGTCGGAGGTAGCATGGTACATGTTCTTCCTTTAGTGCTGTATTTCTGCTCATCATCAAGACGCATATTTCTACGTATAGATTTGAACACCCAATTGATACCAAGGATGGTGATACCGCTCTCCATAAGACCTGCGAGAATTTTCCTCGCATAAAAAAAATACGTGTTTCACATTAAAGAGGGGACGACTATGTATGTATGATCGATTAATGATTGCCTGAATCGCTTGGGAAATGTTCCGTGTAACTGACGCTATTGATTACGGATCGTTTGGTCGGAGCGGAACTACGGAAGTTTTTATTATTGCTGGCGAGAGAAAAGCGCGATCCGTCAGATGTATTTTTGATTTGAAAGTATGTCCAGGATGGGGTGTAAGTACTTTGTAGACCGGTGTTCAGTTTTGAACAGATGAGGGCGAGCGTTTCGCGGCGACCAATCTGTTGCTTTGTTTCGCTTCAATCCTTTTGATACTTTGAAAAAAGAAGAAAACCTCTTCCAGGCGACCCCAGAGTTACGTGTTTTGGGAACAATTTTTTTTCACCAATCAATGCCGATCGCCCCGGTGGTGTAGTGGTAACCTCGAATTCGCCACAAGCTGCTCTGACCAAGAAGCGAATTTGAAGGTTGGAGCGGATTCCCCACGCAGTCTTCTCGAATGAGCACCTAAAATTTTGTCACGGCATCTGCATGAGTACAACAAACAGAAAAGCCACTGCGCCATTCGGATTTGTTTTCAAACGTTAGGCTGATATTAGTGATCACGGGAATATTTCCTATGCAAAAAAGTCACAGAAAAAAAAGAAAAAAATCAAATGGTGGCTTGTTTATTTATTTGCTTATGAGGATGCCGTGTCAAAATTTCAGGTTGTAATTCGAAAAAAGCGCGTGGGAATCGCGATATCATCACATTCTCTCAGGGTTCTTGTGTGTTGTGTCGGATTCTTTACGAGGCCATAACTTCTGATGGAAGATGCCTTGAGCCTTGAAACTACCATCCATCCTCTTGCGATGTTCCCAGGTACATGCACAGCAATTTTCAGGTTTATCTGAGAAACTTTTTTAATGCTGATTATAGTACAACAAGCATCCCCCGTTATACCGCTAACTGCTTATTTATACCTAAATCGACTCAGATCCGAACAATTCCGGCACCTGCGCTTTCCCCTATGGTGTTATGACAGCAGCCCCCAAATTTGAAGTCTAAATTCGTGAAAACAGCAGAGTGGGACGTGAAAGAACGAAAGTTAGCTTCTTGGTCAGACCAGCTTGTAGTAGTGGCGTATTCGTGAGTTCAAATCCGCACGGGGTGAAAAGTACAACTACTCTATGCGGGTGAAAGCGAAAAAAGATGAAAAGATCGCTCGGACCAAAATTAATAGTTAGCACCTTCAACGAGGGGAAGGGAATGCGGGACCCTTTACCCGATGAACATATATATGCATACAAAAATCCAGCACGCACCGCAGGAGGAAGGTCGGGCACGAAAATGAAGAAAAGAAGAAAAAAGCCCCCGGTGATTACCTGACCCTGGATGGATGTACAGCGGTAGTGCGAAGACACTGACAAGCACTCTACATGCATGCGCGTCTCACCACGAAAAATGGGACTGTTGCACTTGATAGAACGAAAACACACACACACATTGTGGGCAGGTGACAAACTCAAAACGGAACCGAACGCCTTTGGACCGGCCCCGGGTGTGGACGGAGTGTTGTGTGTCCTATATAACCTGGTGTATGTAGGACCTTGCACTACATGTTTTCGATGAGGGGCAGACAAAAATCTCTGCCGCTTTGGGGGAGTTTCCGGGAAATAGTGGGGGGTGAAATTTGGTCTCGATCTATCCAGACTTATGTCCTGGGACACCTCCATACCATCCTCGTCAAGGTGTGGAACGGAGGAGATATTCCGCGAGAGTGGAAGGATGCAACCAAGGTGCTGTACAAGAAGGGTGACCGGTCCAACTGTAACAACTATAGGGGGATTTCGCTACTATCTCACGTAGGCAAGGTCCCCATCAAGATCATCACCAACCGTCTAAGCGCCTTCTGCGAAGCCAACAATATCCTCCCGGAGGAACAGTGCGGATTTCGGCCCGGGCGATCCACCGTCGACATGCTATTCGTCGTGCGCCGCCTCCAGGAGCTGGGGCGAAGAAAGAAAAGACGGCTCTACATGTGCTTCGTCGACTTGAACAAGGCGTATGATTCGGTGGACCGAGAGATGCTATGGAAGGTGCTGGCCAGGGCCGGGATTCCCGCGAAGCTGATCGAAGTCATCCGCCAATTCCACGATGGAATGCGGGCCCGGGTGCGCATGGACGACGAAGAACTATCGGACTGGTGCTTCGTGACACAGGGCGTGCGACAAGGATGTGTGCTATCCCCACTGCTGTTCAACATCTTCTTCGCCGAGGTCCTCGAGGTCGTTGTCATCCGATTCAGCGAGGATGATGTTGTTCTGCGGAGCCTGGTGTGCTTGGAGGAGGGGAAGACGGAAGCGGGGGGGGGGGAGGAGACACCCCTTGACCGAGTACGGAGGGCAGTATGGGGGATGCTGTATGCCGATGATGCCGGCGTCGTATCGAGGTCTGCAGAAGGACTGGCGAGAATGATGACCATCATCGTTGAGGTGTTCGGGGAGTTCGGGCTAACGGTGTCGGAGAAGAAGACGGAGACGCTCCTGATGCGCGCGAAGGACAAGCCGGCTACAACATCGCAGCCCGCCTCGCCTCCGCCATTGACCATCGAAGCCGCGGGACAAGAATACGCCCAGACGACCGAGTTCCAGTACCCCGGTGGCCTCGTCAACGACCATGGCGACCTCACCCGGGAGATCAACTGCAGGAGCAGAGGAGCGTGGGCGTGCCTCAGGCGATATGGCCGGGAGCTCTTCGACAGACCGAAAGCGCCATTCCGACTCAAGATCCGCCTGCTCCAGGCGGAGGCGATGGAGGCACTGCTGTACGGCTGCATGACATGGTCACCACTCAGCGGCCACTATCAGACGCTGCGGTCGATACACCACCGACTGCTCTTTCGAGTTATCGGGTACAAGCTCAAGAAAGACACCTACCGGCAGCTCTCTTATCCCCGGACGCTGGAGAGGGTCGAATGCCAGAGCGTTGAAGCCACGATCCGACAACGACGCCTACTGTTCGCGGGAGCATTGGCAAGGCAGCCGGACGGGCGACTCCCGAAACGACTGATGTTCGGCGAACTGGCAGGGGGGGAGAAGCGACGTAGGGGGGGACAGGAACAGAACTGGCCGAAGTGTGTGCTCGACGACCTGAAGGCATTCGGGGCCGACCACGGATCTACGAAAAACGATCCATGTTGTCGCGGAATCCCGGTACCGAAAGACACGCCACCGACGTTAAAGTGGACGGAAGCCGCGAAGGTAGAGGGCGGAGTACCCTGGCATGCGGC